GAGTTGACTTCCGTAATAGCTCCCAAGTGACCTTACAGGGTAAGGGAAGGTAATGTAGAGGGGGCTGGACAGTGGACGTTGTACTTAGGCCAGTAGCAAACGCTCCACAGTGAGCGCATGCGCAGACTATATAGTAGCAGAGTGTCTCAGGGACCAACCCTGCGGTGTTATAAAGTGACGCCAACTGACAGAGTCGAAGAGGGATAGAAACGTGAATTAAAAACGATTAAAAAATCATTAAAAGTTTAATAACTATTGTTATAATTAAGGCTATTGACATAAGTGTTATACCAGATGATTGATAATAGGAAGGCCTACCTCCTTATTGTTAAATGAAGGCTGTAGCACCAGGGGTTCCGGAGTAATCCTTTGATCCTTTAACGATTAACGATTGAGTAAATGGCTAAAAAGTGATCTTCATTAAAAACTATATAAAATCACACACGCTCGGCACACACAATCACGAAAATTGTACGAGAGGAGAGCGAAATGTATCCCTCTATTCAACCGTATGACGATTGTGGGATGGATACTTCTAGATTTTACACAATCGATTTATATAAAACAGGTAACAATCGGAACTTCACTCAGTAAAACAATGGAAATTGCGTGGTATCCGTCGCGAGAAACACAATAATTAAAAATGCAATATCTCCGGAACTGCTGAAGTTATCCACTCGATTTTTACACCGAATTAATCCACAGATTATGCACTTTCCGATAATATAACACTTAGAATCCTAGGATGAGTAATTCCGTTGATGACTTTGGCTTACTACGGAGCTCATGCATTTCGCGGCAACAATCTTCTTCGGACGCTTAGCTCTGATAAAATTAGTAAAAATAAGTGGGAATATAGCATCAAGAGCATTAGATATCCCCATTTCTTGAAGGTTCACTATTATGTTTCATAAATAATAGGCATGCACCCAAAATCCACTAGAAATCAGTAGTAAGATGAAACGACCACTATGCAGACGAAAATTTAGGGTAACTTGTTTTGTGAGCGCCTTAAGGAAGACAAACATTACCTAAATCATTAGAACAATTCAGAATCCTGTTGCTAAAGAAAGCTAGAGGGAAAATGCGGTCCGAGTCCAGTGATTCATTTGGACCAATTTGTAATATTGTTTTAGAAATTTAAGGTAATAAATATATTTTTCCAACACTAGAACAGTTTGAGAAATTTATTCAGATTATGAATTCTGAATATAGGTATACTGTATATTTCATTTCACATAACTATAATGGCTTCATTTATGAAAGAGATTTGCATATTTGGCTGTTTTCGTACAGTGAACCTTCTCTAAGCTAGCTATATGTGATTCCTGAAGATTTTGATCTTTAATGAAATTGGGCATCTTAGAGAAATTATGTTTACTAATTAGTTATTTTATGAGAAATGCTGGTTAGATTTAAGAAGTAATTGATTGATGTAGCTAATCGTAATGAGACAGTTCACTGTAATGCAAGTTTTTAAAGTATTTAAGCTGTTCCTGATTACTTAAGATATATAAGAAATATGATTAAAAGTGTTATATAAGCACATGTCTAAAACATCTATTAAAATAATGTTTAAGCTTTTTAAGAGCATGATTATGATTTTAAAAGAAATGTTTTTTTCTTTATTTAGGAGACATGGTTTACAAAGAAGGGGAAAAATTTTCCCAAGCAGTCGAAACGAATTTTATGAAATGTTTTATTGTGTTATTTTTTAATTAATTCTTTTTTTAAGGTTTTATGTAAAGTTTATGAATTAAGTAATAAATTATTTTTACTTCTGTATTTTAATTAGCATATTATTTGCTTCATATGTTTCACAATAAAATTATAAATTCATAAACTTCTTAATTAAAATTGCTGTAATATATATAGAGAGAGAGCATAAAGTTTATTTTCTGTGTCACATGTATATTTCACAATTTTGTATGCAACTCGAAATTTATAATAACTAAGAATACTTTTAGTATCACTTTCTAAATGGTAAATATTAAGCTTAGAGTTTTATTACATGATCATGTTTGTAAAAAATTCTAGGTAAAATTAAAATGCATTAAATTTTAAGCTAAACTGAAGCATTAATTTTTTAAACAAATTTGTTAAAGGCATAACTGTATTAAGTATTAAGAATTTTAATAGAAGCAAAACTTTAAAAATTAAGGTCAGTTGGTGAAGTTTCATGTTTATTCAAAAAGTATGAGATTAGGTTTTTAATGAAAGACTTCTATCTGTTAATTCAAAGCAAATTATTTGAAAGGTAAGGTAAAAAGGTTATGCAATTTACCATCTATTATTTCAAACAATAGCAGACTGTTGATAAACACTGAGTGCAGATAAGAATAAAAAAGGATTAGTTGGACGTTGTAATTCAAGCTTATGAACAAAAGTTGAATTCCTTGTAGTAACAAAATGAAGTTCATTGCTATGTTGACTTCTTTAATTTTACTGAAAATGTCATTTTTTAGAAGGAGAAATATAATATTTTTGAAACATGAAGAACAGCTGTCCTGAGTTCTTAGAAATATTTCACAAAATGTCTTTATTGTAATAATATGATCATATCAACATGCAACACGTTTACTCATATAAGTTAAATCTAAAGCAACATGTGTCTATTTTAGCTAAAAATACTAAAAAGAAAGTCTAGAACATATCTTTAATAATTGACACTAAAACATGCAAATAAAGCATACTGTTTTTTTTCAGCTTTTACAGGCCAACTAAAATTCCAGATGACTTTCCATTATTTTATGTAAAAGATATATACATGTAATTTAATGTAAGGATTAGCATTCAATTTGAACTAAATTATCAAATTAAGCTCAATCGATTATTAATCAAATGATATATATACCTACAGATATCATTGCTTACTCAAAACATATTGATTTCAATGTATTTGTTTATAATAAGCATTATTTTAGACCACAAATCTATTACTTTATAGACATATCCTTTAGTATTTCATCTATGAAAAATATATTCTACACACATATAATTACTTAATGAGATATTAGAAGGACATAATCTGAAACCTTTACAGATACAACCATTGGAATTTTACGTAAGAAAGTATCTTCTACTCACATAATAACGCGCTGTAATAATACAAGCAAAAACCTGTAATGGTACAGATATATCTGTTGAGATCTTACATGAGAAAAACATGTTCTTTTTACTAATTATTTGATGTAATTTACACGCAAATAATCTGTAACCATTACAGATATATCGTTTGGGATTTTACATGACAAAAAATATGTTCACTTACATAACTATATGCGTGATTGTGATATTACAAGAAAAAGATCTGTAACCATTACAGGCCAAAACTCTTCTAAAGTTACAAAGAAAACACCTGTTGCTGTTACTCAAATAACCCATGGCATCCCAGTTTCCATGAGTTTTCTTAGTAACCTTACAGATTTTTTTTTACAGTGTGTGACTGAATTTGAAGACGAAGATTGAGTTTTAGATTTAGTTTTCTTAGACTTATTTTAACAGAACATGTGAATGATTTAAATTTGAGACTTCAAATAAAAATCAACTTATTAATAATAAGTTCCAAACAATAACAACGTTTGAAAGAAAGGTAAAATTTTGGCACAATCAAATAAAAGATTTGACACATTTCAGTACTTTGGTTGTACATAAACCTCTGAGTTGCCCAAAATGTAAAATATGCTGCATTAAGGTTTGATTTAATTCAAGAGTTTGAAAGTAGATTTCAAGATTTTCGAAAAAATGAGTATTTCAACATATTTTCTACCCAATTTTCTCTGGATATAAGTAAATTACCTTCAAATCTTTCAAATCTTCAAATGTTTCTTTACTGGACGTTTAGAAAGATTACCTACCCCGCGATAAATATTCTAATTTTCACAATCATGCTTTATCTTCAACTTTTGGTAGTACCTATATTAGTGAACAATTATTTTCAAAAATGAAGCATACAAAAAACAAAAATAGGACAAAGATCACTGACAAACATCTTGAAAATGCATTAAGAATTGCAACCTCGTCTATTGAACCCGATAACAATTTGCTTGTTCAACAAAAGCAAATTCATCCATCTCATTAATTTGAATTTTTTTCGTCTTTCTGAAATCCAAACTAAATGAAACGAAACTTGTACAAAATAATTATAAATATGTACCTATACATATCTAATTCAAGTTAAAAAATAATAATAAGAAGAAGTTAATTTATTTTAATGAAACAATACAGAGCTAATTTTTATTTCAACTTGTTAAAAAATATTATATGTGTGGTACCGCAAATTTTTTTCTAAGCAATGCGGCCCTCAAATACTTTTTTCTTTGCAATGCGGCCCTCAAACAGTCATAGTTTAGACACCTATGTTATAAATCGTCCTCGTTATAGCGGAATTCGACTGCATTACGAGCCCTTTTTGCTCTAAAAAAATATTATACAAGTCAATGATATAAAGTTTGCATGTTTCGACAGTATGTAAATGTCCTCTGACGTCTAGGCAATCCCTATAATCTCATGAAGAGTCCTCAGGTTTACGCATCTGGAGTTATTCCGCTGTTGAATGCCGAAGATTAAAAAAAAAAGTTTGCATATATGGCTTGTGCCCTAATGGTTAAGTTTGCACGTCTAAAGCTATTCTTTTATTAAATACTGTACAGTTCAGAGAAGAGCAAGTGTGCATATGTACTTTCTACCGATTTTTAAGTTTGCGTATTCACAACTACTCTGTTAAAAAAGAGTTAAAAAAAGTATGCCTGTGTGCTTATTAACCGAGAGATATCCGATATTAAGCTGTGTTTGATCTCCATTTCATGAGCTTAAATCCTCTGTGTTTGCTATTGATATATTTCTATCGCGCCAAACCTACTTTATGTTACGAAAATATTAGTTTGATTTTACTGTATTTTAAAAACTATTCTTGTCATCATGATACTGCATGACATCAAATGTAATGTAAACAATATTTATTTTGTCTAGTCTGCTTTCCATTAAAGAAATAAAATTCTTTTTTTTTTGTAAAATAAATAAATACATTTCTTAATTTGTTTGGAAAAAATATATATAAAAAGTCTTGATCCTTTTTTTTTTCTAGGACGAAACGAATCAACTTATAGTTATAGACAGTTGGATAAAGATGGTAAGTCAAAAATGTTTTATTCCTATTTTTTTCAAAAAATGTCAAGCAAAATATGAAAATGGGTTTCTGAATTGTTCGGGAGTCATGTGTCCCCATGCGTATTATTGTTGTGCAAATAAACTGTTAGCAATTCCAGCAAGCAAATGGAAGATACGTGTTTCGTATCCTAGCACGATACAGTTGATTTTCAGAATTTCTTCTGCGAGAAAAATATAATATTTGCAGTAACACCAAAACTAAAGTATAGTGCACCATAAGTTGTCGGGACTTGAATCTCTTCGACTTAATTCAGGCCCTTTACAAGTAGAGAATATGATAAATTATCGAACTCTAATACCATGTCTCAGTTGAAAAGTATTTGAAGCGTATACAACAACAAATCACATTAAAAAAAAAAAAAAATTAAGCGAAACAGAGTCCCAGTGAATCTCAAGCACAATCGAGTAACTCTTAGAGACTAAGAAAAGATAAAAGAAATGTCCTCTAAACAGATGTGTTTACGGAAGAGATTTTATTGAATTTTTGCGCATCGGAACAGTAACATTTTCCTCACGGATTTCCTCTTATGTCAATAGTCTCCTTCCGATATATATATATACTATAAAATATGTACAGTTTAATGTCCTTTGCAATCTTCCAAACTCTGGTAGACGCTAAGCAAATTATCTAAGCTAAATGTAAAGAAACAACTGAAATTTGGGAAGTATGTAAAAGATCCTTTATTCAAAACTAATAAGAAGGCACACTCTGTGTTTAGAAGCTCAACCAACCACTTATGACGAAATAACTTAAAGTAACCGTAAGTCAGATGTAAAAATTTAAATTCAAATAAGCTAATAGCAGAAGGCTACATAAATCAATTTACTGCGAAGTTGGCTCAAAACTGAACCGGTGTCGATATCAACTATCGGCGATTATAATGCAATACTACAAAGCTTATGTTATGTAACAATCTAGTAACGGGTCCTCGTTAGGCAGAACACGCTCTGTCTTATAATCCAAAAATTCACTATAAATACTTGCGAACTAAATTTGCATTCTGGCGGAAAAATGGAAGGCAGAAGTGACAGTAAATATCCAAAACATAAAATAATTTGTTACTTAACATAAAGGAGACTCACAAATAAAATAAAGATTTTGTCTACTTTACTGAGAAATAACTGTGTTTATCTTTTTTTCTGTTTATATATTTATTGATTTCCACTGGCTTTGGGTAATGAACTTGAGCACGAAGTATCAATGTAAAACTGAAATAAGCAATTATTTGTAGTCCACGAACGAATTAATTCACTTTGCATTCATTCCTATGGAGAAAATTGTTCCAGTTTACGAACATTTCCGTTGACGAATAGACATCAGGAAAGAATTAAATTCGTGAACCAAGGTTTTATTTTAATTACTCATTACTTTTAGAATAAATGTTAAAAATTTTTTAGGAGAAATATATACGTTTACGTGAATTAGGGCATTGAAAAGTTATTAAACGAGATTTAGTATAGAAATTAAGTCTTCTTTGTATAGTTAAAATATTACTTCTATTTTCCAGAGTAAACAATTTATTCCGAAGTGAAAGATACACTGCGAAAAAAAAAAAAAAAAAAAAAAAAAAAAAGGGGGGGGGATTTAAAACACTTAAGGTTTCATATTTTAAATTTCGCCCAAAGGGGTGTTTTTTAATTCTTTCTGTGTTACCTTTATTTATTAAATATCATGTTCTTTGCATTTAAACAATAAAACTCACTTCAACAGCAATGTCGCAAAATAATTTTTAAATGAGCATATCTTTAGAATTTCTGATACACAGTTACGCGCGCTGAAGTTAAAAAGTTGTCCCCCCCCGCCCCGTAGAGTGTTGCCATTGCTCACTTTTAAATCGTTGAGTTTGTTAATCAAAAATTCGTTAAAGTTTTACAAAATAAGGAATCGATAATAAAACTTAACGCGCATTAAATATTGCTAGGCTCGAGGATTTAAAAAAAAAAAAAAAAAAAAAAGCAGTTGTGGCCCTTATACGTTCTCTGAAAAACTACTTTGCTACCCTTCTTGTTTTGGAAAGATATCCTTTGTTGAGAAACTTATAGGGTTATAATTGTGCAGATTCTTCAAGCCATACTAGACTGAGGAGCGAGTTAGCACTTCGTCTGAATTAAATGAAAAAGTTTTACTAAGGTTAAAATAATTTTTTTATTAACTCTTTAAATCTAAGAGAAGGCACAACTTGTGCTTTCAAAATAAAAAGCCGTAACTTCAGGATATTTAAAAATAACATAATTTAAAATTTCAGATTGAAGTTACATAGATGGATGATTATGCAAAAATCTACTTAAGTTGGTTCAAATATTTAAATGGTCGGTATAGCAACCGTATAACAAACTTTTAACGTCGGTATAGCAAAATGGCTAAAGCCAGAATAAACTCTGGCAGAGCTGGCGACAGGTCGCAACAGCGAAACAAGGCTGTCGAAGCTCTCACTTTAAAGCATTCAACATTCTCTACTTAAATACTCTAATGATTTAAAGCATTCAACACTCTCTACTTAAATAATCTAATGATTAATTTGCATACTGGTGAGGACAGCAGAAGTAAAGGTTAAGCCATAATAATTGGTTATTTAACATAAAATCCCTATAACCTACTTTTCAAATCACATGTCTGCCTAACGAAACTATTTACTTAGAATGAACCTTTAAATAACTGGACTCTGATTTTAAAGTTTTCGTGTGAACACTTTTCTAGTGACAGCAATTTTTTAATTTAAATAGTTTAACTGCAGCATAAAAGAGAACAAACCAAAACCCTAACCCGCTACCAATGCTTTTATTACGATTCAATAAACGATGTTTTTTGATTCATTAAACTGCTCGTTTTGCATGCTTTCTTAAGAATGCGGTGTTACTGAGCCGAAGACAAACAGGATAAATATAATTTATATAAAAATATGAGAAAAAAAGATAAATTTCTCAAATTGATGCAGTACTGAGCTGCTATCAAATTTTTACGATTACGTCAAAATGTCTAAGGTGTAGAAGTATCGCTATCGAGCAGTTTTATTTACTGTATTTGACGTTGAATTAATACATATTATATAATACTTAAGCTATTAATCTGAATTGTCTTTTTCAATAGAACTGGAAAGATGAGTATCTCAAATGGGATCCGAGTAACTTTGGGAACGTTAGTGTTCTGCGAATTCCTTCCACTGAAATATGGAGACCAGATCTGTCGATTTACACCGCGTAAGTTTAATCAAATTATACTCCTTCCATTGACAGATATTGTAATTAAGTATTTATAATAGTATCTTTTGACTTGAGATCCCATTGCTCAAAATATTGTCCGTTCAAATTACCTAAGTATATTGCATCAGTTAACATTTCCAAAACATTTAACACCAGCAAGGTTGAAAATCTCAAGTAATAATTAAATGATTCTAAAACTTTATACTTTCGCAGGAAAGATAATTTTCTTTGAAAAATTCATTGTAATCATATAGGAAACAAAATGAAGTTAAATACGAAATACTTCTTTGATAGAAAGACACTTATAATTTTGAAATATTTAAAACTGATACTATGAGTAAGGAAAGGCAATAAAATTACTGACGAAAAGCCACTAGAACAGCGGTTCTCAACCTTTTGACTAATGCGTACCATCTAAACAAAAACTGAAAAACTTTGGTACCACCACTACATTTTACAATGATTATATTTCAATTTCTCAAAAGAAATATTATATATATTTTTTGAGAAATTTATTTTATTTAAATTTACTATTTATTTTTATTCTTTTGAAACAATTTCTTTTGAGAAATATATATCTATATATGTGTGTGTGTGTGTGAGTGTCATAAAAGCATAAGGAAAAGACCGCAACGCTGTCGATGCGTACATAGATCCATAATTGCGATAGCGTAGTATGCTAATATGTTGACTTCATAATATCTAAGGAACTTGGCAGTCGAGGCGATTTAAATTCCATTTTTATTTGCAATTGATATTATGTGGCCACAATTACTTGGCACTCTAGTCATGCCTTTTTACATAACATTTCCATTTTTCACATTATCCCAATAGCAAGCAAGACAGCGAAGCTACATCCTAGCAGGATAGAGAGCGAAGCTGAAGTGCGTATATAGTTATCCAAGATGGAAGCACACGAAGAGAAAAGTTCTGATTTGAGTTAAAATGTTTCAGTTTACAATTATTACGGTATCAGAGCTGCGTAGGACATGCAGAATGGAATGATATAGAAATGACGCAATTCAGAGAAGTTATTACGACTTCCAGAACAGAGAGGGAGAATTAAAGAGTTTACCGTTAGTTTAAATTATAATTTTGATTAAGATATTTTTTATCTTACATATCCCCCCCCTTCAAAGAGAAAAAGGCTTCTTAGAAAAAAAAATTACAGCAGTAGCAAAAGAAAGAAAATATAACAATAGTAGAAAAAATCATAGAATTTTATATAAATAATTTTTTTTAATAAAAAAATCTTATATGTAATCATTTTTAATAATAAATTCAAATTGAAAATTGTATTGAAATTTAAAAGTCTTCAAGTTCATTTTTCTGTGAAAACACTAAAACTGTGCCAATTGTTTTCCAACAATACTTGGAAGAGTTCACTGTCTTATGAAATCTTTGCATGAATATCATAATCAATATTTGGCAATCCTTAGCTCGAAAAATCTTCGGTAAAAATTGTTGATGTCAATATAGGACCAAAATGTTTTGTTACAGCTTCATGAAATTTGAATTAATTATTAATAAAATAAATAATCCACATTTTCTTAATTGTAAAGCAATGTAAAAATGGAATTTAGAACTTAATACATTGTAATTAAAAAATTCAGTAGAATAACAAAATAAACTTTGATAAAAATGGGCTAATCCTCTAAAATGCAAATTAGCATGACAACTTGCTGATGGCTGTGGGATGCTTAAATACAAAGTTTACATTTATAATTTATAGCCATACAAATCTTCAAACATGAAAAACCAATATGCAAAAATTAAAGACATATTAAATTCTACAATGCCGTACGATAATAATATGAAACATATAATTCTGTGAATAGAAAATAAGAAAAATTTCATAATCACACCCGTTTAAGGAAGGCTTTTAAAGCTTTTCAAATATAAAAAATTCAAACACATCCATTAACATTACAAAATTGCAAAAAATTTCAAGATATTATAATGTATTAATTCAGAAGTCAAACAACAAAAATCAGCGTTATATATTCAAATTTTAATTTAATAATTTTAATTTTAAATAATTAAATTTGAAAGTATAACGCTGATTTTTGTTGTTTGACTTCTGAATTAGTATTTGTTCGGCGCGTTATTATGTCTTATATTATAGTGTAATTAAATTTTCATTTGAAACATCATTTGAAATAATATATTATTATTACCGAAATTTCTAATTTATATATTTTGTACAAACTGGAAGATCCCACAGCTTTCTCTTAATACGAAAATTTCCATCTTATGGACAAAGCCACAATAACGAATTTGTGTATAAATTTTCATCAATAGTTACGGGATGCCCACGGCAGTTATTTATAAACGCCTCCGTTCCTTGTTTTAAAGGCAACTGGCCTTTTTTAACTGCATTAAAACACTTCATTTATAAAAAAACTAACCGCATTCCATTATATTAAAAATAAAAGTTGTTACAGTCAAAAGTCGTTAATTCGGACACCCATAATCCGGAATGATCTATAATCCGGACCTCAAAACTACAAACTTTCTGCGCATGCGTCGCGTTCACGCATGCGCACGGGCGTTTAAGAGTGCGCGTAAGACTTTTACGTCTGCGAATATGTTTGTGCGCATGCGCGTTTAATGTGTAACGGAGGTATAAGCTAAGCTAAAAATTCAGTTAATGTTGCCGATTGCGTTGTTCCTTAATCTTCGAATTGGATCCGGCTTATTATTTTTTGCAGACTGTTAGAGCAATTTCATAAAAGTAAGCTTGAACTTTCGATTATGTCAAATAGAATTTCCGATATATATTTACTAATATGTAATTTGTATCTACAAAGCGAAAGTATGTTTTGAAATCCGAAATCTGTTTATCAATTTCATGCCGCGGATTGGAAGTTGATCTGTCAGCACTATCCTTATCTTCAGAGCAGATGTTTTATATTTTATTTGGCTTATAATTCCTTACTAAGTGTAGTATTTCGATGTACTCCGTCTTTGATATGATTTAAATCAAGTTCCTCGTCATTATAATTCACTTCCGATAGTGAAGAAAGTGACCCAGAGGTTATTGAAAACGAAAACATTTCGATTGACAAATTAGTCGGTATTCTCAACACAACAATTATAGGACTTGAACAGCGGAACTTTGTAACTAAACAAGAAATTATGTCTGTTTAATAGAATTAAAGAGAAAGTATTATCATATGAAACGAAGCAACTTACATTGAAAGAAATGCTTAATAAAATAAACAAATAAATATTAAGCTTTTTCTTTTTGTAAATTTTGATACCCTTTAGATCATAATTGTTCTTTATTTCATAAATTACGGTTTCATATATTTAATTTTGTAATTTCTGCATGCCATCTTACCAGATTTAAACTGATGATCTATAATCCGGAAAAATCGATAATCCGGAATCGCTGAAGTCCCGACGAGTCCGGATTAACGACTTTTGATTGTATATACGAAAAGAAATAAAAGTGGGAGCCTTCAAAGCTTATCTCAACATCATATGATCCGTAAATTTTAAAATCAGTTAACATAATTCCATACTACTTATGATTCCTATACTACTACTCAAACACTACTTGTTTATCATATTTTATACTAATTATAGCTTTTTCGTTACTTTTGTCACACATACTTACGAAAAATTAAAAAAAAAAATAAATAATGAAAAAGAATTTCACATTTTCTTAAAACAGCACAATCAAATTGCAGAAATTTTAACTAAAATTGAAATTAAAACTATAGAATCCGCAGCAAATTAAATAATTTTGTTCCTGAGTTTGATTCACACGAATGTAACAATTTTTAAGCTGTTGAAAAAGAGGAAGCACAAGTAATATTCTGTCGTACATATACTTAGAGCTGAATAAATTTTCCATTGAGGTCTCAGGCCACTGGTAATGATCCTGTCCGACTAATTGTCATAAAAGCACAAGGAAAAAACAGTGGATGCGTACGTAGATCCATATTGAAGAGAAACATTCCGATTGTGTAGAATACTAATATGTTGACTTCATAATATGTAAGAAACTTCGCAGTCGAGATGATTTTAATTCCATTTTTGACATACAATTGACATATGTGGCCACAATCACTTTGCACTCTAGTCGTGCCTTTTTACAGAACATTTACATTTTTGATATTATTGCAATAGCAAGCAAGACAGCGAAGTTACATCCTAGCCTGGTACAGCGAAGCTGAAGCAAAGAATATATACATAGACTTTCTTTGGCTGAAGTGCGTAGTTCTCCAAGATGGAAACACACGAAGAGAAAAGTTTTGTTTTGAGTTAAAAAGTTTCAGTTTCCAGTTATTACGTCATCAGTGCTGCGTAGGCCATGCAAAATGGAATGATCTAGAAATGACGCACTCAGAAAAGTTATTATGATTTCCAGAAGAGGGAGAATTAAAGAGTTTACCCGTAACTTTAAATTATAATTTTGATTTACATATTTTTTATCTTACATGTGTATATTTGCGCAACCATTTGCACAGCCTGTTGGCTATTTGTATTAAATATGCGCACATAAAAATATTACATTAAAAATTGGTTACCTTTTCAATTACCAAATTTAAGTTCTAATGCTTTAATTCTAAAATTTAGTGCAAAATTTGGGCCTGTTTAAGAGAGATCAGTTTCTTTATGTCTGGTCTTATTTTGCTTAGTTTTAACCGTAAATTAGGATCCACTTTTAATCAGTCCAAAGGGGCTTTGTCCCTGAAAGCCTATTGTTTTCGTTTTGCAATTTTGCCTTGAATCACTATAAATGTCCGTTTCACTTTTCAAACTGTTGCCACCAAATGTTAGAGTCCTGCAATATATTTGAAGAAATTAAACAATGAAAAATATGCATAATTGTATGTATATTTCTCGCATTGTGATAAAACAACGGTACATAGAGCCATCGAATTTTGAATGACGTAATCCTTCTACGAATATGGGCATGTGGAAGACCAAATTTGAAATCTGGAATTTGTTTTATTATCAATTTCATATTTTCTAAAACTTTAACGAATTTTTGAGTAACAAACTCAACGATTTAAAAGCGAGCAATGGCAACACTCTACGGGGAGAAAAAAGACCTTTTTATCTCCAGCGCGCGGAACTGTGTATTGGAAATTCTAAAGATAGTATGCTCATTTTAAAATTATTTTGCGACATTGCTATTGAACTGAATTTGATGGTTTAAGTGCAAAAATAATAATTTATATTAATAAGTGCTATTTAATAAATAAAGGTAACCCACAAAACTTTAAAAAACACCCCTTTGGACGTAATTTAAAATCTGAAATCTTTCAGATTTTTTTTTTTTTTTTTTTGGTTTTGTAGTTATTTTTTAAATATAACACGGAAGAAAAGCCTTCTTCACACAAATAGGCTGTGCAAAAAGGCAATAAAAATTCAATAGCTTTATTTGAAATGCTTTTATATTCTTTTTTTTTTTTTTTTTTTTTTTTTTGGTTCAGTCATTCTTTTTTTTCGGTTATTTTTTTCGGTGTGTTATTTTGGAAATTTTCAGTTAGAGTTCGATCACAGGAAAGTTCTATCAATTTTTCCTTTTCTTCACAAGATACAATTACAGGTAGGTTTGAACAAAATGGACTTCCAATTCAATTTTCTATTTCATAAAGCCTCAGGAATATAAATATTGAAATTATTTACCAACGAAAAACAATGAGTAGGCTAATTCTTCTCTTATTTTCAAATTATTTTCGGTTAGAAAACTTTCTAAAAATGTTAAAAAGCTTAAAGTATTGGTATCCAGTTCTTTGATTATTAGCTTCAGTTTTTTTATCAATGCATTTATTTTACCTTTAATGGTAAACAAATACTTTGTTATCCTTTATTAAATTCATTTAACTCTGCAAAAATATCAGCTAAATATGCTACACGCGCCAACCATAATTCATTAAATAAACATTTTTGAAACTCAACATTTGAATCACTGAAAAAAACTTGAATTTCCTTTATTTGAGAAATAACACCGGAATGTTTTCCTGTTAAAGCGCGAGCTCCGTCACTGCATACGGCACTGCACTTAGTATATCAAGAAATGCCATTCTTAGGTTATCATGAACAAATTCACAAAATAAATACCCTTCAGCTATTCGTTTGTTTTCTTCGAAACGTATGTAAACTAATAATTGAATAAAGTCCGTTACATCAATAATTTCATCAATTGCAATGCGAAATACTCACTGTGTTTTATTTTTTGAATAAATGTCTTTTTTATTGAATTTGCCATTTCATGAATTCATTGACTTACTGTATAATTTGATAACGAAATATTATTAAGTTCATTAGCCGCTTTTTCGTTGACTACTGTTAAAACGATATCTTTAGCTGCTCATAATATAAAGTTTACCCCTAAAGTGTGAGTCTGCTCTAGTCTCGTCAATTCTTAGGCTTACTACGTAACTAGCTTCCATAGCTTCTTCACTAGAAGTAACAAAACCTTTCATTACTTGTCTACTATTTTTGAGCTCCGAAAATTTCCTCTTAAAATATTCTTCAGATTTATTCCTTAAATTGGCTTGCATTGATTCAAGAAGTCTTTTTAAGAAACGGTGGTTTCATACTTTGATTGGATAATATTTCGCAGCAAACAACACATTGAGTTGAGGGTCCATTTCATCTCTTTTCCAAGTAAATCTAAATGATAAATAACTTTCATTATATTTTCTATAAATAATTTTTCTTAGCTTTTCGATATTCTTACTGCCAGTAGATTGTTCTGGATCCATCATCTGTAAGTCATCACTTTTCCACGTAGTCCATTCTAGGCAGTTTTCCATTTTGAAAATCTAGGTTTGTTTTATTATTTTTTTTTCTAAATCGTTAACTGCACAATATATTACGAGTTTTTCAAAAAAATAAAGGCGACCTTCTCAAATTGCGTAGAAAAGTAAAGGATACAAAGCAACAAGAAAATATAATATGCAGTCAGAGATAGCAAATCGACGTAAAAATTATTCTAGTTGAAAATAGAGCAAGATAATGATGGCGACGTGAAGCGCAGACATGCTAATAAATCGATCTACTCTAAAAGAATTAGTGAGATAATATTATCTTTTTATAGGAACTTATTTTTATTTCTTATACAACATCCATTTCTATTACTACTTTTAAAAACATCATTTATGACATATCTTGTAATTCATAACAAGATTTATCCTTTATGGCTAAAAGAAAATTGAAAATAAAACGGGTTACTTTGCTAAAGTCTGTGAGCGGCTATAGAACTTGAGAAAGGTTCAGATCGCATAAATTTACGAGTGTTAAAGAGAAAACTTAAACAGGATGTTGGGGTATTTAGTTTTTGAATTTAATAGTTATAACTTTCTTTTCATTGGGTACCACTTATTTTCCCCTGCGTACCACCGGTTGAGAATCTCTTCTTTAGAGTTAGAAAGAAGACAAGATTATTTGGGTCCAAATCTGGAATACTGTATTTACCCCTCCAGTTCCTTCCCGTAGCTTAGTAGTTACCAATAATTTATTCACAATTATTCTTTATTTCAAAAGCACAGCAAGAAAATAACAAATAAAAAGTATTTCTAAATAAACTTAACAGTAACTATCAAACTACGAGGGTTGAACTAATGGTATACAGTTGAGATCAAAAATTTTCAAAAGAAAAATGCACCGAAATGTCACAATAAAGCCGTTGTGGTAAAAAATGGGATCCGTAATCTTCCGTGTATTTCACAAATCTTTTGTGGATTGCCATCTCATGCCGCTCCCATCCAAATGATAATAGACTAGCAGCTGCAGCAGTCAGCCTTTAGTCTAATGAGACCCCCTTGTCAACTTCAGATGCTTCTGCCACATATTGATCTGCTGTTGAGGCTTTCTTACAAACTTCAGAGATTTGCATTATAAGATATTTCTCTCGTCTCCTTAACATGTCTTCGTGGTGTAATGATCAGCATGCTTGGCGCGTATTCGAGAGGTCCGATGTTCCAGGCCCGGCGATGACATTACTCATTTTTCACATCTCTTGCTTCAAAATAACCAAATGTCTACAGTGGTGCCCGAACTAAAAAAAGTGCAAATGATGATTCTCCATCACCAGGATTCGGCGATAGGGTTCCCTAATCCGCAGTCTCCCTTTAAAAGGCGGGGTATATAAGGTATTTCTCCAGCTTTTTTAGCATGCCTTCGTGGTATAATGGTCAGCACACTCGACATGTATTCGAGAGGTCCGATGTTCGAGTCCCGGCGAGGGAATTGCTCATTTTTCATGTATCCTGCTTCGAAATAACCTAATGTATCTATAGTATAACCATTATAATTTAGCACAGAAGTACTTACTTTCGAGATTTGCTCTTGTCAAATTGTCCTTGTTGAATTGTTGCAAACCATTATCCGCTGACCGGCCATTTCATTTTAGGACACTTGTGTATTGCAACTCGATCAAAAATATTCTTGGACTACGGATGTTTATTTACTTTGCTTTTTTATTTTATTTTTATTTATTTATTTTTTTGAGATGAGAATATATTGAATATGTTTATTATTATTTATGAAAATACAATGTTTAATTCCAGGGTTCCGGTTGAAAGTGTTTTCCTTGAGCCTTTGACCCAAGCCCTGATATACTATGATGGAACTGTCTTGTGGGTACCACCTGTCACAATTAAAAGTCGTTGCCCTCTCTTCAACCGAGCTCCGAAAAACGCAATAAAGTGCAATATTCGTTTGGGTTCCTGGACATACAGTGAGAATGAAATGGATGTGTACCTGTCATCTCCTGAAGTAAGTTCTACACCAAAAGGTTTTATAATTTTAGACTTTCGTGAACTACCTAATTATGACTACGCATTTTGTCTGACAAGTTTAGAATTGAACGCTTTCAATCAATCCAAATCAAGCTGCAAATAGATAACAGTAACAATAATTGCTAACACAAATCTTATCTTACTTTTTAAATGTTGTTAGCTTATTGCGAAAATTATAAACGGAATTATTGGTTCGATTTTAAAAAAGTATATAATTTCAGTTATTAATTCAAAGACTGAACATTAAAAAGCAATATTTGCACATTCCCAGAATACCGGTATTAAAGCTATTTTCCTGTTTGATCATTTTCTTCAGAACTGATGGATATATTTTGATAAAATTTGGTACATGTTGAAATAACACAAAAAATACAACATGCAACAATCATTGTACACACATATGATAGTGTATAAGGCTTCACCAAAGCGGGAAGAAATTGAAAAGTAAACGGCATATGGTACCCCCTGACAGTCACACAGCTCTCACAATGTGATTTTATGCTGAAAATGAAGCAGTTTACGAGGTTTACTGGAAGTTACGAGGAAGTTACGTCACTTACGAGGTTCACCCGTTCTACAGCAGAGCATTTCCAATATGAAAGGTTTCTAGTAAAGGGTAGACAAAATGAAATTTTTCTCCCAAGAGTGTTCCAAACATTTTCGGAAGGATATACAGATCTGGTAGTCGACTCCATTCAGTTTATATCCTCACTTTTCAGAAAAATCATCCACCATATTAACTTTATGTGGATAACTGTTATCGTTCATTAAAATAAGCTGTATGCCAAATGCATGCCTTAAAAGGCTAACACAAGGCTTTAAGATTTCTCGTGTTTGCAAGAAGACGTGTTGTTTGCATCTCTCTCTCTTTTGTGCACAAGACAGACCATTTAGCATAGTGCAAAAAACATTAGCTTTCGACAAAACATTAGTGGAGGTCCATCTCTCCATAGATAAACCATGATTTAGTTTCATCACAAATTCTCGACGTATCTTCATGTGGAGAGAACTAGAACCAACTATCTTCCCTCCAGAAAAAAAGGAACCAGTATCGCAGCCGAGGTTTTATGGTTTCGGAAGGCATCATGCTAGATGGGCGCAAAGACTTTCATGACTTTGACAGAAGCTGTGTGACTGCTGCGAGGTAAAGGGAAGAAAGCTTATGACCATATGTCTACCTTTTCAAGAATGTTAGTTTTTATGGCTGACAAAGCTCGTCCACATATGATTAACCTGGTGGATGATTTCCTGGAAAGTGATTATATTAACTGGGATAGACAGATCAACAGACCTAAGCCCTTAAGAATATGTCTTTGAGGTCTGTAGTTAGTATTTCATTACCATTCAAAGATCTTAAGTCCAAAGGTAAGTGATGATTTCGCTTCGTTATTAATATACACAAATTTATTTACATATAATACAATGATTATAAACATCATTATTAGGCACATGCCTTTATTATTATAAGACTTAACACCTTCGTTCTTCCATCAAAACTAAAATTAAGTTTTAAAATAACAATAGAGACAAGATGCTCGGAGCTCCACCTAACAATGTGAGCTATCAATTTATAACAAGGTCTTTTCATTGGGTGATCATCATAGCTAGCTTTCAATCTTTAAGAATTCACAAGGATCTGATAATAGCGTTCCTGAAATAGAGAGTGCGACTGCCTTCTACATAGACCCATAAACTTCCTTATTTACAGTATGAACTCATATTGTGAGATCTGTAACCCTGTTAGAGGAACCACATCCCTATCAGCCTTCTTTTTTTGATCTTGCAACTTTTGTTTTAGACTTTCCCGCACTAGTAAGCTTTACGTACTATCATGTGTGTGTATTATGATTATTTTTCTTTCCGATTACTTATATCGTAACAAAATTACTTATCGTAACAAAAATACTTAAAAAATTAGCAACTTATTCAATTTACATCTTCGAGCTGGAGCAGTTTCTATGCAGTTAAATTCTGCTCGGTTATGGCAGCAAATGTTTTCTTGATTATCTGTACTCTACTTTGATTAATTATTAGACAATAACTCTCCTACATGACATATGGCATCACAATATAATGTTTTTATTTAACTTCTTATTTAGTTTTATTATTCTTCTTGTTCAATGTCTTATCTTATTCAGACGAATTTTTACCTGTAATGTGAATATAAGCCAGTTTACATTAGAAAGTCCTCTTCGGAAACCTTTTGCCTGTCTGATAGTCCTCAGACACTCAGATTACTCAGAAGTAAATCTCTCCGCAAAAAACTAAGCATAAATTAAGGCATCACAATTCCACATCAGCATTTTTTTCGACATAATTAGCATCACTTCAAGGCAGCACAGCGCAACTTCAATCAACAAATATGAAACTTACTTCACACTAATTATAAAATTTCTCAGAGCTTTATCAGAACTTACTTCAGACTAACTATTAACTTCAACAGATAAATAAACTTTAACAGACTTATGAACTGTGAACTATTATGAATAATGAACTATTTATGAATTATTAACTATTTATCAACTGTGAACTATTATTGCATTTCAACAAACCATCAAAATCCTATTTTATTTATTATGTATATAACCAAAATTTTGTATCTAAATCTTTATTTGTATTCTACATTATGCATTCTATATTCTATGTACGTACCATCAAAATTTCTGTTAATATTTATATGAATTCTGTCAATGTATGTCAAGTATATGTCAAAATTATGTGTACAACAAAATCAAAATTTTTTATTGTAATATGAAATTTTAAATAAACATGGGCCCACTGAGTGAGCAATAAAGCTGAAAGTCTTCATGGTGGCACAGCTGCTCACCCAGTGGTTTCCTGTCTGATAGTCCTAATACGCTATGCAATAAAGAAATAACTCAGTTCACTCCAGAAGAAATTTCGTGACCAGAAACTAACTAAAGTTTTATACTGCTAAGTATTCAAATTGCTACACTATGAAGGAAAGCAGTTAGGAGAATCCTATTTATTTTACAAATAAACCACACTGGAAGGATGAAATGATTTAAATTTCAAGTGATTATGAGATATAGAACATACAGAATCAGTACCTTGATTACACACTTCTAGCCGCTGGTTTGAAATCTCAGTTATGAAATGGTGGTTGATTAAAATACTAGATACTAAACTACACGTGAACAGGATGTGCACTCAGTGGCATCACATGCCAGTTTAGATGCTTAGTCGATACGATGATAAAAACTGTAAGCTTCCAACGATCGTTCACCGCTCAAGTGTCTCCGCTCAAGCATACGGTTATCATAATGTAAGAAAACATTTTATTCATCAGAACGAAGATGCCACTCCATTGATGCATCCATGTGTATTGTATACCGTAGAAGACTTTGAAGAGTGGATTTTGAAGCTGTAACATCAAGGGTAGCCAAAGCAATAGTTGCTTTGCCTACAACTCGGGGCGTTGCACACATCGTTGCACCATATATGCTCATGCGGATATCTGGTGATATGCAGCACAGTTCTATGTGATGTGGCTTTTAAATGCGATGTTGACAAGATATCTGTGGTCTTGGGCAATACAAATTTATGTGTATGTCGGCCAATGGAAGCCACTGAGATCCTGCACGTCTGTGTTGCTCATCTGGATACACCGATTGCAAATTGTCATAAAGGTCATTGGACTTTTCCTAAAGCAGGCAGCAAATGTGCGGTTATAATAATTCGCAGTCCCGGCACACTACGATTCTCAGGCGATCAAATTCTAAAACATGCTGATTTGTGTTCTTTTTTCTTACACTAAAAATAACACAACCTCCAGCACAAACACAATAGTGAACGCGATTTCTGAATGGAAAAATCTGCAGTTCAATCAATTTTTCATTTTCTTTATTGTTTCGAGGAATCATTACTCTTGCCAATAACGTATGCATGTATTGAAATGTTAATCAACTCCTTATCTTAACATGTTATACCTTTCAATCATATTTTAAGTTTTAACGCGCTTTTTTCGTAGTATAGCAATTTTGATGATCTGCCGTACACTGAAATTTAGTAACGCACAAAGGTAAAATTTACCAGAAATTTCGTTTGGCTACTCCTTGTAGGTTTGAAAATATAAACTAAAATAAAAGAAAATGTCCAGAAATGTCCAATCCGCTACTTGTGGAATTCAAATCAATACAAGGACATAATCAACGCCGATAAGCTTCGGCTCAAGCACGCTTCCGCCCGTCTAACTAGTTAGTCAGTTTTTAACTAAAAGAATATTTTTGCCACGTCTAACAAGGCAAAACATTAGGATGCACAACTTCAAAAGAATGTTGAGTCGCTGAAAAGTGCTCTCGCGTTCTCAGTTTACTTCTTCCAAACACTGATTTGATTCGCCATTAAATCTTGACTTACCCTGCGTTCTGTGAGGTGAGTAAAAATTAGAAAGAGCAGAAATGAATTAAGATAAAAGTAATTGGTTAATTAAATAAGCTCTGTCGGTAACTTGCATAGCAGAATAATTTAAGCCAGGAGGTTTTGAAGGGGCAAAAATCAAAATAGGTCTAGTACTCTGGAAAGCAAAATACTATATATGTGAAACTAGCTCTCAGCAGTTTCCTTATGCAAACACGACATTTACCTGCTGCAAAATGCTGACACGATAAAAGTAAAAAGCATAAAAAGAGCAAATTAATTGAAAAAAAAATAATAGCTAAGTATCGAGAGCATATATAGTTCGGTGAGTTTCAGGTGAAACTTTGCGTCGTTAAACAGCATTTCCTATACGGGGTGTACCATAAATGTTGCGACAAACTTCTAGGGGAGATAGGGCACATCATAAGGATAAAAAATTGCATAGGAACCTATACCCGGAAATGTCAGGTGTAAGTGGTAGCAGAGGTAGAAGATAGGAAAAGAAACAAGAGTGATTAATTTGAAAATTTATTGGACATGAATACAAATGGTGTACGACAGCTTGAATGTTACAACAGATGCTCGAAGTTTGCAGTATGAAATGCTAAATTTGCCTCACACCGACGGATCATTTGAATGCCGCGAATTATTTGATCTTTCTGGAGTACGATCTTCCCGATTTGCTTGACGATGTCCCACCAAATGTGAGGCGCAACATGTGATTCCAACATGATAGGGCCCCTGCTCATCTTGAACTGGATCACTGGATGTTCGTAGCCATTTGAACAGATCATTTTCGCAGCAATGGATTGGGCGTGGTGAACCAGCTCCCTGGCCCCCATGCTCACCAGATTTATCGAGCCTTGATTTCTTTTTGTGGGAAGCCATTAAAAGTGTCGTGTATCACGATTCTGTTGTGTCTGAAATGGATCTTGTGGCAAGACTCGCCTGCGAAGCTGCTACAATCAAAGAAACTCCCGGTGTATTTGCACATGTCCGGCAATAAATGGCCCGTCGAAGTCAGGCATGTTTGTCGTCTGATGGTGCAAACTTCGAGAATCTGTTGTAACATTCAAGCTGTCGTTTAGCATTTGTATTCGTGTGCAATAAATGTTTCAGATTAATCACTCTTGTTTCTTTTCCCATCTCCTAACTTACCCCTGACATTTCCGGGCATGGGTTAATATGCAATTCTTAATCTTAATCCTTATTTTTAATCCTTCCTTCCCTAGAAGTTTGTCGCAACGTTTACGGTACATCCTGTATACTACTGAATTCGAGAAATTAACGTTCGCTTTTACAGAGCCCTTAATCTTTTAACCCATGCATTTGGCAATTTTTCCTGGGGCGATAACATTAGTTTTCATATTTTAGTCGCTGGTGGCATAACACAATATGCAATTAAAAATAGTGATAAAAAATTGTAGCAATGGAAACTATTGCATTTATACCCATTAAGATGTTTCAAACGATTAAAATGTTTCTGAGCAAAAGAAAAATGATCAGACATTTAAAATGTTAGGGAAAAGTCATCTTTGTGATGTGAGCTTGTGATTTAAGTTGTGTCTGGATTATTCTTACAAATAAAAGCTCTGCATAGTATTCACAAAGAAAAATGTCAGCACTATAAAAGTTAAAAGGACAAATTCACTACTAAGTACTCAAACAATAGTTAACGTAATACTAAATCTGGAACAGACATTATTATTGAGAGTGTTGACAACACAATGGATGGTAATAATATTTTTAGATCAAGCACGTCCTAGATGAGAACTGCACAAGTGTAATGATTAGATATAAGCAAATAAAGACAAATATGCAAAACGTTTAAACTGCCATGATATCAGCAATTCATTTCTTTTAATAATATCAGTTCCATTTAAATGCTTTTTGTAGTCTTTATGTAGCGGTATCTCATTTAAAGTAGCTATTAAGTTCGAAATTATAGATATTGTTACGGAATTTGTATTTAGTTTGCTATTTTTGGTATAACAATCCCCTTGCGATGCAGTACGAGACTTATTTGAAGAGAAAGCTACGCCGGAAAAGTTAAAATACAGGAGCACGCGCATTTAACATTTAATTAATTGATATTTCGTAATTGTAGTCTTTTACTTCCCAGAAACCTCGGGAAAACAGAAATTGCCAGAAGCTTCTCGTGATTGGTTAAAAGGCTTATAAAAGCCAGCGAAAAAAATCTCAGTTTAGTTGTTTACTTAGTTCTTGTTGATTGTAGCGAATTCGCGGTGAGATCGGAACTGCACTTTCTCTGCACTTTGAATTGCGTTCTATTTAACGTTTTAGTAGGTTAAAATATAACTACTATGTGATAGTGTGATATTATACGAATATCTGTGAGGAAAATGTTCAGAATTTTGTTTTATTTCTTGTGATAAGTATAAATTTTATTAATTTTTTTATTAGACTTGTGCATTCAATCTATTACGAACCCGTATGCACGCAACAATATTATTTATTTGAAACGCTAAAAGGGGCAACGTTTGTCTTATAAAATCAGGCAAATATCAACAGAAATTATTGAGTTTTGAAACAGTTTATAGAATAAGGATATCAGTCAAAACTTTGCAAAAGGGATCGCAACAAACAAGAAAACAGATCATTAAATTAGCCATATAGAAGTTTGCCGATAGAACAGACATTCCTGTCAATCATGTTGCTAAAATATATTAAAATCAACTGTTCATTGAACTAAGGGAAATCTGGACTTAAACTCTTATGCCAAAAAGGAAGTGCCAAAATACAAAAAAGGTTAAGAAATTCCAGAAACTTAACTGCTTCAAAATTTGTCAGCAATGAATTCCATTCGAAAATGGAAGGAAATTCATCATAGAAGATATGTCGTAAATTTGACCTTAATGTCAAGTAGAGGCAATCAGTATTATAATTCAATACTCCTTGCTCCCTTCTCTAAAGACAAATTCGCACAGGCGTAAAGGTATGAACGCTATTGGTGAAGAGAGTAATGCTTTTTAAACTAGACTTTGTTTTAGAGAAGAGTAAATTGTTCCTTCATTTATATCCCTGTGCTTTAAAAAAAGGTTTGACTCCTTATTCGGAGCAAAATCATCAAAGCAAAGATATTTTAGTTTGGACGGACTGAGCTATCATGTATTACATGAAAGATATTTCCAATTATTTGAATAACAAGAAAACTGATTTTATGCTAAATCATATAATGGTCCCAATGAATTCCAGGCTAGAGTATGAAAGCGTTTTAGGGCATTATTAAGTGCAAGTACTCCAATATACATCATGAACTTAAAAACTTGATTCAATTTCCTTCGACTATTAAAATTAATTTTTAAAGAAAGAGTGTAAGAGTGCACGAGAAGAGCAACGCCAAATCTTCGTTAGATGGCCAAAAAGTAATCTGTGCAGCAATATAAATATTCACATAAAAAAGAATCAATTGAATAGAATTCCTCAATAAATTTCCATTTCATAAGAATTAAGGCAAAAAAAATAAAAAATATCTTATATTTGTGCCATTCCTATCCGGGACGCTCTTTACTATAAAATTTCATTTTCGACGTGTTTCAAGAGCGATCAATCAGTGTTTAGTTATTTGTGACAGTCTGTGTCAGAATTCGTTGATAACAAAACAAGAAAATAATTATAAATTGCTTAACATCTATGAAAGACAAGAACTATCAAAGAAATACGTCATACGACTATATTGTTGGACAGATAAGGTATGGTACGAAAGTAAAATGGTAACTGATGTACCGCGATTCCAGCTGGACAATAACGAATGATTATGCTTAAGTGTATGGTTTTCTATAAAAAGCATATACTTATGTATTTATCTCATGCCATTAATGCTGTAGTGTGGTACTAAAGATGCTATAAGACATAAAATGGTGAGGTACAGACAAGCGAGCTGGTTTTTATGTTTAGTAATCAAAAATATATTCTACTATGTTACAGCATTAGAGGCATGAAGTAAATGCATAAATTTATGCTTCTTAGAGGCATTATAAGAATATATTAGTGTACATAAATATAAGACTACATGTTTAAAAGATTTCTTGAAGTATGAGCATATTTACGAGTTCATAAGAACTCATAAGTGTTCTTGATGTATATGTGTGAGTTCATAAGAACTCAAAAAAGTTCTTGATATACACATCCTTATGAGGTTTTAGAAATTGTGTTGTCATATGGAATTTTATGGGATACATAATTAAGGATCAGCGCATCGTAGGTTCTCTCATTTTTGTTCTCTCATTCCTAACACTACATAATTTTAAATAGACGTCCTTTAATAGCGCATGAGCCGTTTTGATCTTCTTTTGATTTGAGACAATTTCTCTCCTGGCAGGTGGATGCTACATATTTTGCAGATTGCAACTTCGCATGGAAATTTATGGAAGTTGGTGCTAGTCGAGAGTTTACACACCACCGAACCCATTCAGTAAAAAGAATTACTCGTCTCAGGAGATTTTTATCTGAAAACGGTCAACTTCAGGAAGTTGACAAAAGTTCTACAATAAGTTTATAAACATAAGAAACTCGGTATCGTTAAGGGACACCATAGGTGACAGTTATACCTGCTGACGGCACGATTTAATAGAGGGAAATAGTTGGGTACGTTTGGAATATCTGAATTTATGCTTTTCGATATTCTGTAAATGCTATCTATTGTTGAAGTGGATGACCTGCGGTGTGCTAGGTGTTGTATGATCTTGGACCAAAAATGTTCACTAAGCAGAGCATCTAGTAAATGAGAGGGCGAAAGATAAAATGGAACACCTTGTTGGGTTAGTGTACTGTAAAAAGATATGTCATAAATGTAGAGTAGAGACAAATCAGCTTTATGTTTAGTAATCAGAACTATGTTCTACCACACTACAGCATTAGAGGCTTGAGGTAAATTCGTTTTTAAGACGTTTTTCTGCAGCGTTATAAGAATATAAGGAAGCACATAAAAATAAAGATACAAATTTAAGATTTCTTGATGTGTACATAGTTATGAGCTCAGAAGAATTCTTAAGAATTCTTGATGTATGCATACTTATTAGTTCGCAAGAAATGTGTCATCATATGGGACTTCTAAGGGGTATATAGTTAGCGGATAATACATCAAAGGCATTATTCTATTCGCTAATTAATTCTCTCATTTTCCTACTTGCATATCTTCAAGAAATGATTACTTGAACTATTTGTTGGTAAGCATTGTTCATGTATTACAAACTTTTGCACTCGATTTATCGCAAAAGTACAAACAGTTGATACCGATATCAATGCCAATTACTTCCTTATTCTGTACAATTTATTACAGGAGTTTTCAGGTTTTAAGATTATATATACATATATATGACTTAACTTATGGTATTTTGTCTCATTCATTAAATATTTATGTGGAATATTTTATATTTTTCATAACATTCAAGAATAAACCAAAGATCTTTATCAGGTAGACGTTTCAAACTTCATAGACAGTAATGTGGAGTGGAAGCTCATGGAAGCTCGTGCTAGTCGAGAACCGAAACATTATCCTTGCTGCAAAGAAGCGTACCCGCTCCTGCACTTCAACGTGACTCTGAAAAGACGAAAACCCTTTAGTGAAAACGAATTACTCATGCCAGAAAATTCTGATTTGAATCCAGTAGAACTTGGAAAGACGAAAAAGATTATTGAAACCGATTAAGTACCAGGTACGTAACTTACTTTCTCCATCATTAAAAATACATTGTTTCTTTTAAATTCTTACTTTTAAGTTGCATCTATGATTAAAAAATTATAGGATAGTGATGTTTATTGCCGTTTTTCTTTTAAAATCAGATTGCTATGAGGACTAAATCGACTTCAAAATTCATTTCAAACTTCATAGACACTATCATTAGAAAATCCTCTACGAAAGGACTCCCCTTTAGCAGATAGCCCTTGAGTGTTTTGAGGCAGTCAAAGAAACCTAATCTACAGCGGGTAAAAATCGTTTCCGTGCATTTCATCAATGCCCGTTGTAACGATCCTTAGTTTTGTGGAAACATCAGATTTAAATCAGAAGACTTCCTGGTCTCATGGAACATACCTCGAGTTTCGCTAAATGACTGGAAAGTAATCAAGAGAAACAAAAACTCGCTAAGACCCCCCCCCCCGTCCTTGTGACGCAAATGGAAAAGTAAAGGAAGGGGCTTTTGTCTGAGAAATGCCGTAGGTATAAGTCGCATCATGAGACTGTCTGATCCCCAACATACGAAAGCTGTCTTTCTTTTCTGTAACTACGCTGATGTTTCACTTTTTATTTAATCAAGAAATCTTTGTTTAAGTTTAGAATACATATTAAAAAGACCACTGGTCTGATTATTTTCCATCTCGGAAGTTCGTTTACATTACATCGTAAATAAAAGTTTAATTTTTCACAGAAAGTCTTTTGTGAAGGAAATAAAAATTAACAAATTGGTTGCACAATTGCGTATATTATTTACAAATTTTATGAAGAAAAATTATTGAGATAATTAAAGAATTAAATTTAAAGAACTAAAACAAAAAATGTCCCTATTGAGGGACAAAAAAATTCAGTACGGTATTTACATAATTTATAAAAGACTTTTTCATGTTAACCAAGGGGAGGAGGGGTTAAATTTAATGATCAGTAGGCTTTTCTTTGGTCTTTATTACTTCTTTCAAGCGAAGATTCTTTCAAGCCCACGAATTGTTTGTTTGTTTCAAATGAAATGTTGTTCCAAATGTCTTGAACGACACTTTTAGCTCAACTTTGTTCCAAATGTCTTGAATGGCACTCTTCAGCTCAACTTTGTTCCTAATGTCGTACATTTATGCGTTCATGGCCAATTTCTGCCCACAAATGATTATAAGGTGTGGTACTGCACGCTGGGCCGGTATTCCAGAGGTCAGTGGTTCGATTCCCGGCGAAGGCGATTGCTCATTTTTCATCTTGCCTGCTTCCAAAAAAATCCTAATGTCTCTACATGTTCACTGGTATTAAAGCGGAAAGCTGAGGTGACTATGAAGCTTCTTTTTAACATGAATGAGGCACCATGCTTGACAAATCTTGGAAATGAGTTTATGTTCGTTGTCCTGCTGAAACGTAAATCTGGTTGCAAGGGACAATTTTTTTTTGCACTTGTTAAAACGTTTTGCTTTAGAATGCCAAGATACATGTATCTATCCTTAGCTCCTTCCATAAAACGTAAATTATTTGATACCAGTAACCCTAACACACCCTCAAGCCAAGACTCCTCCGCAACCATATTTAGTTTGATAGTTCCACATAAATTCTTAGTTAGCATCTGTTGATTTGATTTTCTCCAGGCCATAACTCGATGATCTCCCCCATGATTACTAAATTTTAATTTATTACTGAAAAGGACCGATTCCCAGAAGGATAAAGGCTTACTTACACGATTCTTCGCAAACTCGAGGCACTTTTCTGTTACAGAGACTTATAAAAGGCTGCTTATGGGCTTATATCGATTGTAACCTGCTTAAAGTCTTCTGTGTCACTTCTATGTTGCCAGCAGTCTATAAATAAGCTGCGAGTTGAGGTGCACTTGCTGATGGATATTACTCATGGTATTTCTTTTCTGCAAGTGGTTTAACTTTGGAGGTTTTCTGAATCGACCTCTATTTTCAAAAGTTTGAAGATGACAGTATCTTCTAATAATATATCGTACTCTTGACTTCAATGTATTAATGATTTTACCAGCTTTTCATAGATAACCCATCATTTCGTAACTGAATCACAACACACGAATAGCTTTAGGAACTTCCACTTTAAGACGATCAGCTAGTTAGCAGCTAGAATTAAATTCAACTATTGCTATCCTTAAAATCCTGTCTTTGTACATTACGGAAACATATTCAGCCTGACATTTCGCAATATCTCTTAAATATTTCAATTAAAACACTTTTAGCGTTTTCTTTAAAAACAGACATTTTATTTTAAACTTATTTTAAAGATTCAGTTAGATGTATTTCAGTAGTTACTGCAGGTATGAAGCAAAGACGAGAAATTATGCTAATGTATCCGTAACTTTAGCTTTCGTAAGGAAATGTTTTTAACCATAGTACGAGGGCATTTCGAAAAGTAAAGATACAATGGCTCGCATTCCTTAAAAAAACATTTATTTAGAAAACGTCAGTTACATCTTATTAACTCGATTATTTATTATTTTTCGACATAATCCCCCCCCCGTTATCCAAACATTTGTTAAATCAGTGCACAAGCTTTTGTATCCCACAGTCATAGAAGGTTGCCGCCTGTTGGAACCCAGCGCGCACACAATTTCCTGTACCCTAACTTGACAGTCACAACTTCATAAAGAGTTGTCATTGACACTTCCGGTATGATCTGATGCAATTTTTTAATTTGAGACGTCTATTCGCACGAATTGCTTCCTGTGTTCTCTGAAGAAGGGCATCAGATATCACGGATGGCCGACCTGTTCTTTGTTCGTTCTGAACATCGGCCCTACCTTCTGAGAAATAACGACACCATTTCGTTACATTTTGTCGATTCATAATGTTCCCATAAACAGAAACAATTTCTTTGTGAATATCCGCTGGTCGCTGACCTTTTGCATGAAGAAAACGTATGACGGAGCGCACTTCGCATTTGGCGGGATTCTGAATCGGCGTAGCCATTTTAAACACGACTACTTCAACCATAATCAACGTTGAAGTGCCGAACGACCGCGAGGAGAAAGCTAACGGTTCAAGGTTAACACCTGTGTTGCCAACTTGCTCACCAAAACTTTTCTTTTCCTCTGGCGTATGGTGTATCTTTACTTTTCGAAATGCCCTCGTATATTAAGTTAGATTTTTTCCAATTCTGTTACTATCCAATCCAGTTACATGAAACCACGGATGATATTGAATAGCATATTAGACCGAGATATTAATGTAGAGTGCGGAAATAGTTTAAAGCTTAGCTATAAGTTAACCGAGGAAAATCTTATGAATGTTACAAAGAAAATACAATGTATATGGGAGTCAAATTGTGTCCATAAAAGTCCCAATGTGGCTTTTATGTTTGTAATCATTGACCTTAGATGTTCTAATTATAAAAATGTTTTAAAAATGCAAATATTTATATTTTAGCATTTTTAATCTAAAAATTCAATTTTGTAAAATTCGGACATCTAATTTCTTATGTACAACCCCTGAACATGATCTCAAACTTTTAATTAAAAAATTATATCTCACTTTATGATGTAGGAAAATGGATACAAGCAAGTATGTTGTGTTTCATGTTTTAGAATATACTGAAGTAGTTAGGAAATTTTAGTACCAGAAACATACATTTTCAATATAAGTAGTATATATGTATAACATATATATGTAATTTGACCTCACGTAGGATCATTATTGTTAAATGCTAATTGAGGATTTTTTCTTGTATAAAAATATTTAAATTTAAATTAAAATGGAAAATTTCAAAATATGTGATTTAAATCGTATTATATTGAAAATAAATCACGTAAAAAGGGAAATGAAATCCCTCTTCAGAAAACTGTGTTAAATCAAAATCATGTGGAAATAAATGCTCATATAAAAACACGAGCAGTTACGTCGAGCTGTTATACTTTATAATTTTTTATGATGTAAAATTTTAAAACTGTACTTTCAGTTTATGAACAGTTAAATTGATGATTATATTAGGATTTTCAAAGAAGGAAACACGTTCCTCGTCGAATTCGAATTCCCGACCTTCATTTTTTATAATTTGATGTGCTTCAAGTTACACCGTGAAGGCGCATAGGATACTAAAACTGTTTGCATTCTTCTCCACTTAAAATGTCGAATGAGAAGGTAGAAGAACCGCAGTCAAATTCAGGTGATTTTGAGTTATCATCCTCCACTTTTTAATTCGGGCACCACTTATAAAGTTTATTCGACTGTTCGAAGAAAGAAATATGAAAAGCAGCGAAGCTTTCGCTGAGATTCAAAGTGTAGGCTTTCCGTCTGCTAGCCGGACATACTTCTAATAATATGACGAAGACGTGCTGTGAAGAAGAAGAAAATTCCTTATAAAATGGGCCAACTAACGGCCTAGCGTTAGTGGTCGCAGGACACTGGTAGTTCGGTTCGAAGTTCGAATCCTGCGAACGGCTTGGTTGCATGGGCGCTTTCGTGGCTTTCCCCATGTGTAACGTGTATTCGAGCCAGTTTCCCTTAGAATGTCCTCCACGAAGGCATCCCTTCTCTTAGGCAGATAGCCTTCGAGGCTTTGCCGTAATTAAATAAACCAAATCCAAACGAACCTTATAAAATGACTGCAAAATTTTGATTCCTTAACCGCTGCCTTGAGTTAATGTGTTTAGTAGTAGTCTATTCAAGTAGTAGTCAAATAAGAATATTTTTAAGTAACGTTATTGTTAATACATTCAATATCTTTGTTTAACTTCTAGGTTCTGATGTATTACAGAAAAGAGGAAATTCTTTGGATTTCTGTCCTCATGGAAAGTGCTGTTCGTGCCTATTTTACCAGAGACTGAAAAATATTATTTGATTAAGAATTAACGCAAATGTGCTACAAATAAACTTTAGACACTGAATAATAAAACACTGTTTTATGCAGTATTATCATTATTATTTTTTCATTTAACTATTATATTGCGCTTTGCGGGATTGTAGAAATCTCTGTAACATTTGCATTAGGTGCCAAATGACACTATATTGAAATGAATCAGAGCGCATGCAGCAAGATAACAGCTATGAATATCTCTAAGAATACAGGTAACTTCTCCTTAACTTGTGAAAAATATCGCTGATCACAAAAATCCCAGTGCATCAAACATCGATCGATTCAGAATTACAAGATATGCAATAAAATACGAGATACTGAGATGACTCCGGAATATTGTGGCGCCCGTAGCTGTAAAGAAAAAAGCACAATTCTGAAAAGTTTAAAGAAAAAGATTAGAACTTATTAGTTTTAATTTGAATATGAAATCAATTGTCCGTATTAAAACGAACACTTTTCGTTCTTTTCTGTGGCACACAAAGGTTACACAAAAGACGTTTCAAAAAGACGATTAGTAGCAGACTGTTGATCACTGTTTAATAATTGAATTAAAGAACGCAAAATATCAAAGTGAGATCATTTTTGTAATGTAGCTTCTTTCAATTAAATATGTAAGTTTGGATTTATTCAAAATCGCATGGAGATGATATGAAAAAATACTGGCCTTTATATTCGAATTCAGTTCTGGGTTGCAGCGCTTTTTCTGCAAATTCCTAAAGTGTGCAAACGCTTTTGGAAGACGCTGTAAGTCTCGAAATGGCATTTTGCATCGAATCACTATAAATGGCTGTATCACTTTTTCAAATTGTTATTTTTATCTCCAGCGCGCGAGACTGTCTTTCGGTATTTCTAAAGATATGCTGTTTTTAAATATTTTTAGCTCAAAGGGACGTTAGGGCAAATGCTCTCGAAATGTGTATGTACGTTGTTATAAATTGATTTCTCGCGCCGTTAGGTGGCGCTCCGAGCGTCTTGTCTCTGTTGATATTCTATAACTTAATTTTAGTTTGATGGAAGCTCGAAGGCGTCAAGCCTAATAATAATGTTTGTAACCATTCTATTATATTGTAAATAAACATGTGTGTATTAATAACGAAACGGAATAACCACTTATCTCTGGATTTTAATGCTCTCTGAATGGTAATGAAAATAGTTACTACAAATTGTGGTGCCGAAAGCCGGGAGAACTGGTGCTCTGAAGTAGAACTCTTGAAGGAATTTTCAGTTGCAAGGAAATGCTTTCCGACTAATGTGGAAATGATCGGAGATACATTAAAGTTACACATTTTCTGCGATGTCCCTTGAGCTTACGGTGCAGTAGCGTATCTCAGATTTCAAGAAAGAGAGAACATCAGTACTAGTTTTGGGATGGCTAAAACCAGAATTTCTTCTCTAAAGAACCATACACTACCGAGCTTAGAATTAATGCGTGCCGTGATTAAAGCCAGAATTTCCAATTACCTTAAAGATGAATATAATGAGCAAAGTGAGCAATAGTTTACTTTGGTCAGACTCTTCCGTTACATTGCATTGGATAAAAGAAACGGTGAAGGATTGGAAACCATTTGTATCCAATAGAGTAGCTGAAATAAAGAACTATACCGATTCTCAAAACTGGAATCATTTTAAGGTATCAGTCAACCCAGCCGATATACTCACGAAAGGAAAAAGTGTTTCAAATTTAATGAAAGACGTTAAGTGGTGGCAAGAACCTTCACGGCTAATGTTACCAGATTATTCATCGCCTCGAAGAAGTTTAAGAGAAGTTAATTCAGAAGCCATGAAAATTGAAACGAAAATTACACTGCAGTTTGCATGTAATGTCACACCAATACCAGAACCAGTTCCGATACAGAAAATATAGCAAATTGTCATGATTGTATCGAATTACAGCTTGGATACAACGCTTTATACATAATGCGAGGAAATTTGGAGAGAAGAAAGAAGGTCCCCTAGTAGCTTAAGAACTGTCAGAAGCAGAAATTTATTGGGTGAAAACTATCCAATCAAAGTATTTTGAAGGAGAAAGAAATCAACTACTTAATGATCAGCCAATATCAAGGGTATCGAAACTTATTGAGTCGATCCAGAATTAGTTGAAAACAAAGAAAAGCACTATATTTTATTATGTACATAATTACATACATATTATGTACATAATAAAACATAGTACATATTATGTACATAATAAAACATAGTACATATTATGTACATAATAAAATATAGTGCAGTAACAATAGCCATTCATTTTAGAACTAGTTCCTAATTTAAGTACAGAAACGTTCTTACTTGCATTTCGAAGATTCATTTTACGACGCGGAATATATTTTACTATCTACTCCGATAATGCGAAAACATTCAAAAGTGCAAATCTAGAACTGAAGGAAATATGGAAGAAAATTTACCCCCCCCCCAAGAAGTTAGAGGATTTTTCGGGAAAACTGGAATTCACTTGAAATTTATCATTGAAAAAGGAGCCTGGTGGGGGGCTTTTATGAACATATAGTGAGAACAGTGAAAACATCCCTAAAAAAATAATAATAATTGGGGAGTCATCTCTTTCAACCGAAGAACTCGGAACTGTCTTAACGGAAATAAAAGCTGTGATAAATTCTAGACCGAATACCTATGTGTAGAGTAATTCACAGGAGTTATCTCCTTTAAGTCCTTCTCTAAACGAATTGTTACACCCTGTATCAAACTTAAATCCAGATCTCTTAAAACTTGTACTTAAATTTAGAATTAACCGAATCGCATTTATTGCTGATATTGAGAAGCCATTTCTGCAAATTAGTTTAGTAGAGGCTGATCGTCCTGTTTTACGATTTCTATGGATAGATGATTTGCGAGATAATGTATCTGATATTGAACCAAAACTTCTACGAATGACTAGAGTCCTGTTTGGTATTACTTCCAGTACGTTTCTTTTAGCTGCTGTAATTAAATTCGACTTGAAGCAATATTCCACTATGTATCCAGATACCTGATTGATATTAAATGAACCGACGTACATCGATCAAGTGGAATTTAATTATAGCAGCAAAATCTCTAAATGCAAAAAAAAAAAAAAAAAAAAAAAAAAAAAAAAAAAGGTCTACTCGGGTGTAATATAAAGTCTGAAAGCTTTCATATTTTTTCTTTCTTTTTTTTCTGCATTTGCATTTCTCTCATCGTAATCGATGTTCTCAAAGTGATTTCTCAAAGTGACCGATGTTACAGCGGTTCGTACATCATTCGCTAGAAGGCTAGGGAAATGCCGCTATTTTCCGCAAAGCGAAATAGTATGCCTGGAATCGAAACTCTCGAGAACCCTGGTCATAATTGATTAATTAGATTATGGGTTAAATTTGGCAATTGGGATTAGCGCTAGTTTTGCAGCAGTCAACAAAATATACTGTTTCACATACCAACCGTAATTAATATATTGTAGCGGATACTTAATCGACAATCACTCAGCGAATGAGATGTTTGCCTGATAGGACATCTAGCCGACACGGACATTTAGCCGATACGGAGATTTAGCTGACAATACATTTGCATGACATGGACATTTAGCCACAGGACCTTCAGCTAACAGCAAGTTTAACCGACATATGTTTAACCGATAGCACATTTAACACCGATAGCACAACCGATAACACACTGATAGCACACACAAGACAACACTTACATGTAGATAAAACATCTGTAGACATAATAGTTTTAATATCCTCTGTACGTATTTATTCTATTAAAGACCATTTCCAGGGTACATAACGATAAGTACTATAATTTTGCTTTTATTCAATGCCATATTTGAATATAGATTTTAACACTATGCAGCGTAGATTTTGAAATCGGTTTCGAAAGCGATCAGATATAGGTTCCTCTATTTCAGAAGGGCTAAAGAAAATTTAAGCAGTGGTAGAAGCGAAACGATTCTGAATGTAAAGCAACTGGGGGAGCAAAGTATAACGAGTGCAGTGTAATATGCCGAGGAAAATAGTCATGAACTGTGAAAAACCTAACATATTAGAATTTTGAAAGCGCTGAAAAATTAATTTCATTCTCTAAAGAGAAAATTTTGTTAGTGTGAAAGGATACAAAGTCCAATTTACTAACAGAAGAAGCTTTACGGATAATTTTTGTAGGTCCAAAATCAAAATTATGACAAAGTATCCAATTGTGATTAGATATCAAAAACCTTTTTATTTCTCCTTTTCGAACATGCTATTTATGTTTCTTGACGAGAAATTTCAACTTTCTTTCACTTTGGCCGATATATGTGAAATAATACTGGCATGATATGCATAAGAATAAAAATCAAAGATGAGGGCTTTATGACATGAATAACGAATTTTACTGATAAGGGAGAATATGACGTCAAAGATGATATGGAGAAGCGAAGTAATTTCATAATTGATTGAAAGATTAAATAGTATTTGTCAATGCAATAACAATTATTTCTAATTGCGAAATATGTTTCATGATGAAAAGAGATACTTCTTAGATTGCTTAGTAAGTAGTGTTATTGAATAGACTTTTTCCACTGTTTTCTAATTTCTGACGCATTTTTCAATATAAATATTTATTAAAAAGTATTCAAGAGATTCATTGATACATTTGCAAGTTGAGAATAAAAATAAGTGTAATATTTATCAAGTTGAGCATTTGGAATAGACTATCCAAAATTATGTAAATGTTCGATTGTAAATGTTTTAATCAAGTTTGGTAAATTTATAATAGTAAGAATAAAATACAGTTATTAAATTTAAACAAACTGTACTTTTTTAACAGTTAATATATCTTTGATCTGTTTGAAGTATCGTAACAGCAACTATTTAAAAAAAAAGATCTGTTTTAGATGCGAAGCGTAATGGATAAAACAGCAAAGTAAAAGAACTCCTGTAAAAAACGTATAAGTATTATTTGAAATTCTTAATTTTTAAACATCCTACTTCAAAGTATTTCTTAATAATTCCGACATATGGTGCGCTATATATTTATCATTGGTAGCACTCGCCTCGAATTTTACAGAATCATGGAAGGCACTGTTTTTATATTTCATTGAAAATTATAT